AATTTTTTATGCAGTTTTTTGTATAAAAGTTTTGAATTCATGGAATACCTTAAAATATTACATTTTTCTTGGTTTCAGAACTGTTAACATTGCTTTAAAAAGTAACAAAATATTAGGACAGTTCCTTACTCTTCATCATCTTTTTTTTTTTTTTACTCTCAAATATAGTTAACTCCGATTGCTTAATCTTAGTTTGTACATAAATAGAATGATATTTAGGACAAAAAGATTTTTTCTCTCAATTTAGTAGATATATTTGGTTTTATGATCCATTGCAGGGAATTTGTTTTTTGACTTTGAGTAACTTAGTTATTCCCTCTGGACTATTCTCTCATTTGTGATATGATAGGTTAGACTGCTTTTTCTCTAAAGCCATCTAAGCATTAGAATTTTAGGAATCTATATCAATTCAAAGTCATTGAAATTCATCACTGAAATTAAAAAGACCTCAAATTTTGAGATAATTCTTTATTACTAAGAGTATATAAAGTGATTCTATAATCTATTTCTGATTCTAGATATTTTTTCATAAAATATTACACAGAGTATTATGGCAGAAAGAAATGCCATTTTCTTCATTTAAAAAGTCTCAACTTTACGGAAGAGGCATTATTTAAATATTATAATTAAAAAAATTAAATCTATTCCTCTTGAAGGAAAAACTGATTCTTGAGTTCATTCTGTATTTCATTCCAATATTATATATCTGAAATCATCATGAATTTGTAGTCATAATGTCCTTCAACCTTTGACTTGGCAGAAGTACTCAGCAAGTTCTACAAATAATGGATAAATAAATAAGAAAACATTTTTTTTATTCTTCTGTCTTCTTTTTCTGTATTGTGCTTTACTTCATTGAGGATGTTTCCTGGCATTAGTGTGTCAAAATATCATTTTGGCATCCCAAAATTTTTGAAATATCTTGAAGACAGTACAGAGCTGTAGCAACCAGGTCCTATATCCAGTAATCATCAAAATCCTAGCCTATTTTAAGAGATTATTTTTTAGTTTCTATTTTGTTTTTTAATAAATTAGTGAATACTTTATAAATATTTCAACAAAATACTATCAGCTAAAGACAGGGCTGAATACAAGTGAGTTATATACTTCTCACTAGGCAGTGGTTCTTCATGTTGGCTCCCCATCAGAATCATTATAAGGATCTCTACAAATCCCCACTGGCCAGTCTTCACCTCAGTCTACTGAGAGCAGTGGCCTGGGCTGTAGCTCAGATGTAAATAGTGTCAAAAAATTCCCAAGTGATTCCAGTATGAAGACGCAGTTACACGGGTTCTTTTTTTGAAATATCACAGTAACCTAGACATTAGAGGACTATCACCTAATGTATTGGGTTTTGGGTTAGGAAAATATGGTAGAGATTGCCTTGTAGGGTGAGTCAGGATTGAGTTGCAAGCCTGCCTCTATCAATATCAGTTATGTTAACTTGGAAATATTTTACTGTGGTCTGAAATTTTATTCCAGCTTTAGCATTAATCTTCAAAGCTTAATTTATAGTAATTTTCTATATCACATTAAGATATTGATAGATTCAAAATTTCAATACAGTAGTTTTGGTTCAAAGGGCCATGTGTTGAAGAGACCTTTAGTTTGATATTCAGCTAATGACGAGGTTAAGAAGATTCAGATTTTAGGAATCTGAAATTCAATGGGTTGATGTTGATATTTCCACTATCTAAGAAGTAAGAGATTTCTGAGCAAATCAGTAGCATAAGCCTTGTTAATGTGTCCTGAATGTGGTAAGCCTATGTACAAAATACAAAATATTTTGAGAACTTTGTTAAATTAATGTTTATCCTCATTAAAAATGAGTCCTATACCTTTTTTAAAACAGGTTTGAAAACTGAGAAGCAACAATGGGGAGAGCCTGAGATGAGAGGCAGAGAATTTGATCTCTCATCTGGATTTTTCCATTTATTATCAGTTTAGTTATGAGTAATTACTTAATCTTTATATTTTAATATCCTCATGTATAAAATGGAAATAAGAGGGTTCTTTTTTGAAATTTTATTTTAATTGTTGTTCAAGTATAGTTTTCTGTCTTTTACTCCCATACTAGCTCACCCAAACAGCCCTCCCCACCTCCCTTCCATTTCCACTCCCTCTCCCTAGTTTTTGTTCATGTGTCCTTTATACTTGTTCCTGTAGACTCTTCCCCTTTTCCCCTGAAATTTCCTCCCCTCTCCCCTCTAGTCACTGTTAGCCTGTTCTCTGTTTCAGTGTCTTTGGTTATATTTTGTTTGTTTGTTTTGTTGTTTAGGTTCCTGTTAACGGTGAGATCATATGGTATTTGTCTTTCACCACCTGGCTTATTTCGCTTAGCATAATGCTTTCCAGTTCCATCCATGCTGTTGCAAAGGGTAGGAGCTCCTTCTTCCTTTCTGCTGCATAGAATTCCATTGTGTATATGTACCATAGTTTTTGGATCCATTCATTTACTGTTGGACACCTAGGTTGCTTCCAGCACTTGGCTATTGTAAATTGTGCAGCTATGAACATTGTTGGGGTGCATTGGTTCTTTTGGATTGGTGTTTCAGGGTTCTTAGGATATAATCCTAGCAGTGGAATTGCCGGCTTCTAATGAGGCTCAGATTAGATCATTCATTTACTCAGCAAATATGTGATTCACAAAGTGCCTGTTACTTGCAAGGCAGCAGTCTAGATGTGAAGGATATAAGGAAAGAAAATTAGTCCTTGGGAGGAGTCAGAAAATATATTAGTCACTGCTCACATTTAAAAAAATTCATATTGTAAGCCCTTTGAAGAGGGTTTGCTCTTTCATCTTTGTGTTTCTATTTCTCACTACCTGGCACATAACATAGAAGGACCTAAAATATTGGTTATAAGAATGAATGAATCTTATAATTTATTTCCTTGAAAATAGTTTGTTACTGTAGACTGGTTCTCTCTTGAACAAGTTGAAATGAGTAAATGTGGACTGTGGTTTAATTTTCCTGCTGGTTTAAACTACCACATGAATTTGAACATGGTAGTCTAATGTGAGGTCCTTTCAAACTACAGCAATGGGTAGTTTTTTTAGTTGAAGTTTGATTCAATGTAAGTTAGTATTCCTTTTTTCCTAATCAGCATTTCAACTTCAGGAGTACCTGTTTTTTATTTAATGTTCTTTTTATATTTGGTATATTTGAACTCCAGTATTTCTGCTTGAAAGGAAGAGAAATCCTTTACTTGACATTATTTTTTCCATTAAGTTTCTGAAAAAGTCACTTCAGGCTGTAGCTGAGCTCAGTTGGTTAGAACGTCATCCTGATATGCCAAGGTTGCATGTTCAGTCCCTGGTCAGGGCACATACAAGAGTCGACTAATGAATGCATTAAGAAGTGGAACAACAGCCCTGACTGTTGTGGTTCAGTGGATTGGGCACTGGCCTGCAAACCAACGGGTCACCAGTTCGATTCCTGGTCATGATACATACCTGGGTTGCAGGCCAGAACCCTGGTACAGGGCACATGAGAAGCAACCACACATTGATGTTTCTCTCCCTCCCTTCTCTCTAAAAATAAATAATTAAAATACTTTTAAAAAGTGGAAAAATAAATTGATGCTTCTCTCTCTCTCCCCCACCCTGCCCCCAACTCTCCCTCTCTTTATGGGAAGAAAGAGTTCGGTTTCAGCAGTGCCTTGGGTAACACTCAACACAGAGATTTTTTTAACCTGGACAGTACAGCTGGCAACGAACTTGTGCTTGTGCATTTGGTCTGTGTTATTTGGTCTGTTCATAGGTTATTCTAAACTAGGTCAGGGACTGCAATCTCCTTTCATACTGGGTCACAGAAATAAATACTTTTGAGGATTTAAGTTCTTATTCTCTTTGCAGCCCCATGTATATTTAGTATAGCTGGAGGAGGCTTTTGTGTGCTGAATGCCAGTCTTTTATTTGAATAACAGAATTTTGAAGTCAAAAGAACTTTGAACTTGATACAGGCCTACCACCGATATTCTAGACAGATAAAATTGATGAGGAATGAAGAGGCTGTGATAGTCAGCATCAGTGCGTATGTTGGGGGTCAGGGGTTGGGGGTCCTGGGATGCTTTTCCTGAGTTTTTGTTCTATCAGCTATCCAGTGGGATTGGAGTTATGTGAATCCTGCCAGCTTCTGTGGATACTGCTAGGAAAAATTCACAGATAGTCTATGTAAGATAAACATACATGTTTATGTGCCTGTGTGTATGTAATTGTGTAAATTGATAGTGATGCGTAAGTTTACAAATTTATTTTAAAGTCTTAAAAAGTAAATTCCATTTTCAAATATTTATTTGTACACAGTTCAGGGAGCCCATGTTCAATGTGGCCTACAAGGATTTGGGTTGGGCTCTATCCTATTCTTTAAAAGTCACTCACATGGCCCTGGCATAGACGCTTCTTAGGTAGCCAAGAGCACATACTATTTTCCCACATCTGCGGTTATAAAGTTAGCTACCTCTGCTTGGTATTAAACCTGGTTTTTCTTAGGCAAGAGATTAATGAGCACCAGAAAGGTTAAATTTTTTTGCTCAGAGGTTCACAACATGTAGTGACAAGTTGGCAATAAAATATATGTACCTCCTTTTATAAAGCCTCAGCTCCCAAGTTCTGCTGTAGCCCCAGCTGCTGCTGCACAGGCTTCTCATCTTCGGAGGCATGGGAAAACATCATGGATTTTTTTTTCATGGAAAGTAATACCCTCATAGCTATGACTTTTGCTAGCAGGTCATGGAAAGAAAGCACCTGTGTTACTCATTTTGTGGGTTAGAGATGTGGAGTGAGTAATGTATGGCAAGCCCTACAGTGCTCCAGGGGCACTGTCTTGTGCATTTTGTAGAAAGAAGTTTCTTGCCAAAGAAACTTCTGAGTTCAGTTTCTAGGATCTCCAGATAGACTGAGTTCCCAAACTGTTATGGAACACAAATGGGGAAGAAAAAAGTAACTCAAGTATCAAACTGGCATTGACTATTTCATACTTTTCACTGTACTTTTTCAGAGTGCAAATTCACCTGCACCAGCGGTAAATGCTTGTATTTTGGTTCATTGGTCTGTAACCAACAGAACGACTGTGGGGACAACAGTGATGAAGAAAACTGTCTCCTGGTGACTGAACATCCACCTCCAGGCATCTTCAACTGTAAGTCCCTTCTACTCACCTTGGCATCACTAAGTTTGATTGTTTTTGAAATGGTTAGAAGGTAGGGTCATATGGAAATGGGAAAGGTGTTTTTATTTTATTTTTTGAGAAGAAAACACATTTTCATTTTCACAAAGGGAATTTTTTTCTTCTTTTAATATAGAAAGATGGTGTCTCTAAAAGTGAGAAATGTATTCGATTTACAGAGATGGCCAGTGGCATTCATTCTGTTTTAGAATAAACAGGCTTTTGCTATTCATCTTAGAAGCACTGACAGGGTTCCAAGAAATAATATGTTGATTTAGTATTCTTCCTGTCAGTTTTGTAGAATTTTTAAGAGTAATTTTAAACATTTAAAAAATAATTTTAAATAAGCAAAGAAAGGTATGTGGAGAGTCCATAATCAATTATGTAATTAAAATAATAAAATAGAAAAATTTACATTGAACCTTTAAAAAATGTTCTGATCATGTTTTTTTCTATTCAATACCATATGGGAAACAGCTTAAGTGAGGTGTTTACATATGTGAATTCCAAGGTTGAAGCTTTGAGCATTTCTTGCATGTCAAAAGGTAAAATTAGAGCTTGAAGTTCATTGATATTTGATCTTATGATTTTTATGAAGAGGAAGAAAAGGGAAGGCATTGTTGAAAGACTGCTGAGATTTTCTTAGGAGAAATGGCTTATTGCTTCCTTGGGCTAAGTGAAGTGGCTTGAGAATGAGAGAATGTTTTTGTGGTAGTTTGCTCTGGAGGTATGTTTATAACACTGCCATTCTCCCTGGAGCCTGAGGCCTTCTTACTGAGGTCATTTCATGAAACATTCAGCTTATCTCTTCAGTTTTACTGACATTATTTTGAGAAGTTATATTTGTTTTTATTTATAGCTTTTAAATTTTTGTTATGAAAAGTACACTATATAGATATTGATACTGTAATGTGAAATGGGATGAGGTTTTTACAAAGAAACAATTTTCTCTATTCCTACTATATTTTTATATTTGGGGAAAGCTCAAATGACTGTGTGTAGTAAATTTTAAGCCTGCTATTTATGCTTGCTAAATTCAAGCATTTAATAGTGCAACAGTTTTCTTGAAGTATTTTTGATTTTTAAGTTTGTTCTTAGAGGCCCATCTCTATGCTTTCAGAAGACAATTTAAAGTTAGGCACGTGCCTTGGTCCATGTGTTTTCTCTGGTGCTGTTTTGTGCAATAGCCTTTGCAGTCCTCAACACTGTAGTTTGAGTAATGCAGCTTCCCTGGATGCAGAGAATGGATTCCCAAAGTGATTGATTGTCCTGCCTGCTTCAAGCCAGATTTCTGTGATCTTGGCCCTGGCACTTACCTAATAGTCGGGCAGCTCTGTGGTTTTATCTGCACAATGTGTCATGACAATGGGTATTGTGAGGATTAGGTGAGATGGTCCACATAAAGCAATTACAACAGAATCTTGCTGATACTAAGCTGTTGATATAGGTCAGCTAGACTCAAGCCAAGTGTGTTACTAGGGAAAGAGCAATGTAAAGGCATTTTCTTGCTTTATTTTTTCTAGGCTTGAGTAACAGCAAATGCATACATGACAAGCCATGGAGAGACTAATAGGACTGTGTGTGGTACCTTGACTGGGTTTGAGAGTTCTGTGTAAAAAGAGGGCAGTGCCTTGTGCACTTCACAGACTGTTTCTCTGAATCTTGAAGGTGCTTCTTCCTTCATTTCAGGCTCTTTCCACTCCAGTTCTCCTATTGTACTAGACCCCTCCCCTCCCCTCCCCTCCCCTCCCCTCCCCTCCCCTCCCCTCCCCTCCCCTCCCCTCCCCTCCCCTCCCCTCCCCTCCCCTCCCCTCCCCTCCCCTCCCCTCCCCTCCCTCCCTTTCTCATCAGTATTCTTCCATGGTTTTGAAAACCTATGTCCAGATATCTTTTCTGTCTATTTTTATATATGTGAATATTTAATTTTGCTTAGGAGCCAGTGAAGTAGTTACATCTATAATGGTTTAGCATTGTCTAGGCGGCTATAAGAATTTGGCTTAACAGAGGAATCTAAAAATCCTATTGGCAAACTCTTGGTCCCTTTTAAAGCTTGTTGTGTCCTTATAGCTGAAATGGAAGGGTATTTACAATGAGCTCTCTTTTCAGAAGACTAGAAAACTAGGAGACAGAATGACAAAGGGCAAGACCATGGTTGTGGCTTCAGTTTGAGTTTCAATTTAAGGAGGTGATTGAACCCCATTAAGGCTTAATTTCTCCATCTATAAAATGAGAGTAATTTCTGCCATATAAGTTTTCTCTGAGTATTTAAATAAGATAATAAGTATGAAAAAATAGTTTATATAACCACATCATCCTCACTCATTGTGTAGCCATTTTGGGGGGAGGTGGGCCATCATGACTGTATCATCTGTCATAATGCCAAAACCACTTATATAACAGAAGTTACCATGTGTCCAAAGGTGAGTTAATCCTCAGAGGGTCTGGATGTTTCCCACTTATTCTGCCCCCTGGAGAATGCTTCCAAGGTGAAGGTGGCTTGCTCTGATCTAGCCAGTAGCCCCCTCTACACTGCTTTCCTCTGGTTCTCTGCAAGTACCAGAAAAAGCCACGCCCCCTTGTTACATCAAGACATTCAGAGTTTGCTGTAGCTGGTCTGTTGTTTAATGTCAGGTGTCTTTGGGAAAGGGTGTAGCTTCTCTGCTCTTTGATGATGATAGAGGGTGATCTAATATTGAATGAATATATTCTCTTCCATATACTATCTTGCAAGAGTTCAGAGTAAACAAAGGATATTTTTCCTATTAATAGCTGTGTAATGATACTTACACGCTTTCCATTGGTAAGTGGATTTTAATGTATCTACCAATGTGTTTCCTATAACAGATGGACAATATGCCCTTCATGGAATGCTAACTCTGGTGATAAAGCTCACCTTACACTCCACCTTGAGAACTTTAAGTATTAGAGGAATTCTTGTCTATAAATATTGTGTACTTCAGAAAAACAAAGTGTTTTCTCCTTGTTCTTATGTAAGAACAAGATACATTTACTTGATCTGGTTTGTTCCCACCTGGAGGAAATATTCAGTGTTCTGCTATTTGATTGCATATAGGATAAAGCAAGATGGACTCTTTTGGATTTCCAGATGAGCTTGAATCAGTTTGCTGCCTATGTTGTTGGCTATGGGCATGCACCATGGCCCAGATGTCTTGGTTTTCTCTGTCTTTCATGTGATATTTTGTGAAAGTTAGCAGGAGATAAGATTAGAAAGAAAATACTACTGTCATTTGTGAGTCAGCAATGCTAATGTTAATGGAAGACTTTACAATAACTATAAGTAGCTTTTCCCTTGAAAAAATGATTTTGTTCAAAGAACCTATGCACCACAATGTTCATAGCAGCACAATTTGCAATAGCCAAGAGTTGGAAGCAACCTAGGTGCCCGACAGTAAATGAATAGATCAAAAAATTGTGGTACATACACACAATGGAATTCTATGCAGCAGAGAGAAAGAAGGAGCTACTACCTTTTGCAACAACATGGATGGAACTGGAAAGCATTATGCTGAGTGAAATAGGCCAGGTGTTGAAGGACAAATACCATATGATCTCACCTTTAACAGGAAGCTAAACAACAAAACAAACAAGCAAGCAGAATAAAAACAAGGACACTGAAATAGAGAACAAGGGGACAGTGACCAGATGGGAGAGGGAAGGGAATTTAAGGGGGAAAAGGGGAGGGATTTGGAGGAACAAATAGGAAGGACACAGGGATGAGAACTAAGGGGGGTGGAAATGGGAGGGAAGTGGGGAGCACGGGGCAGGGGAGGCTGAGATGGGAGAAATAGACAAAAAACTGTACTTGAAAAATAACTAAATAAAAAAAGAAAAAATGATTTTGTAACCTAGACTGAGTGGTATCACCTGCTTCTCTACTTAACTATGGGCAGGCTGCCTGAGGCTGAGGCTAGTTTATTTTTTGTGAGCCCCACAGGGTTTTGCACAGACATTGTAGACTGGACTTGTGTTTTCTCACGATGAAAGAGTTTTGCTGTATTCACATTTTTACCGAAGAGGAAAATACTATCAGCCTAAATTGCCAGGTTTCCTCATGTCTTTCTTCTTGGTTAGTGCATCAAAATATTGTACTCCTAAACACTAAAATAACAAACTATAAAATAATTATTTATTTACAAAAATAAAATGTCTTATTTGGTTATTGTGCCAGGCATTGTGGGGATGAAAGAAAACATAGATCCTGTTATCAAGGTGTTGATATTCCCTGTGCTTCTGAGACTTACATGTCTATTTCCTTTAGCAAATTAGGAAAGTTTTCCTTCATTATTTTTTCAAATAGATTTCCAAATTCTTGCTCTTTCTCCTTTCCTTCTGGTACCCCTATGATGCGAATTTTGAAATGCTTGAAGTTGTTTAAAAGCTGCTTATGATATCCATTTTTTAAAATTCTTTCTTCTTCTTCTTGTTCTGATTGGTTAGTTTTTGCTTCCTTATGTTCCAAATCATTGATTTAATTCTCTGCTTCATCTACTCTACTGTTGTGTCCCTGTAAATTGTTCTTTATTTCAATTAGTGAATCTTTTGTTTCTGATTGGTTCATTTCTTATGATGCTGAAGTACCCTCTAAGTTCCTTGAGCATCCTTATAACCACTATTTTGAACTCTGCATCTAATAGACTGCTTATCTCCATTTTATTAAGCTCTTTTTCAGGAGTTTTATCTATTCTTTCATTTGGGCCCTGTTTGTTTGCCTCCTCATTTTAGCAGCCTCCCTGTGTTTGTTTCTATGTATTAGGTAGAGCTGCTATGACTCCTTGTTGTGGTAACATGGCCTAATGTAGTAAGTGCCCTGTAAAGTCCAGTGTCACATCTTCATCTATGACCCAAGGTGGGTACTTGAGGTGTGCCCTTTGTGTGGGTTCGGTACACCCTCCTCTTGTAGTAGAATCTTGATTGCTGTTGGCAGGTTAATGGGAGGGATTTACCCAGGCCAG